ATATGAGTGTCGATCACTCAAATTTCGTAGTAAAAAAATTATTCACCTGATCTGCGTGACATCTGGATCGACTGATACGTACTGTACGTACGTACGTACTAAAATTTCACAATTTTTTTAAAAAATAATTTTATAAGTAAAATTTTAGGTTGTTATACAATATATATTTGTATATATATTTTTTATACGTATATTTTTATAATCAAATTAAAGATGTTCTCAAACAGCTTACGTATAAATGTGATTAGCTAGTGATCGAGATGTTAAATTATTACGATTCACGGGCAGCATCACGTGCCACATGACCAATCAAATTATAGAATTTTGAAAGCGAAAAACCTGAAAAATACAAAAAACGGAGTTTAAGCCTACCTCGGATGGGTTAATTAAAAATGTCGGGAAGGCAATTTTGCTTATATATAACTACCTAAACCCTAACCTAATCCTGATATAAGATGACCCTAACCCTAAAATTAATTCAATAAAATATATATATTATAAGAATCTACCCCACTTTAGTCCGACCAATTAACATTTTACTTGGCTAACCAGATTGATAAAAATCAAGGATAATTTAAACAATGAAAAAGGTAAAACCTGCGTTAAATCCTAGTAAAGCTCGCTTTGATAAGGTTGTTTAAAGCCAGCTCTAGCCGTAACATAGAGCTAAGTCATGGCTTAAGCTGCGGCTTTAAAATTTTACATTATATCGAACACATATAATGCATATAATGTTACTTATAGAAGCCACAGCTAAACCACAACTCAAGCCACGGCTCCAACAGCAATTGCTCAAGCTGAAGTCATTTGAGAGCCGAGCCATTCAAGCCGATAACGATTTCACGAATTTTATGAATTTTATTTGCTATTATTTGTACCATTTCCTTAAAATATGACAGTAGTAATAGGGTTAGCAGGTAACACTGCGCAAACTTTCGCTAGAAAAATATTTTGTTAAAAAATGCATAGAAAGTAGTTCTTGAACAAAATTAAGATTGTAATTTTTAATTTTCACGTTACATCTTATCTTGTCTTCTGACCCTGTCATATTATCTGTCATACTGTGAAACGTTACGTTCTCACAAAGTTCAGTTGCCCGGGTAATAATTGCCCCTAACGCTAACGACTGTTATCGTTATAGATATTAATAAAGAATTATAAAGACTAATAATAGATCGGCTGTACTAAAAAAGTCCTCTATAATTACATAATAAATACGGTAAAATTGTCTACGTACGTACGTACACGTACATACACATTAGCCACTGTGCATCATTCCATTATATTAAATAATATGATAAATGTTTTTGGTCTTTAATGCGAAGGACATGGCTTCAATACGATGAGCACCAAAAAGGAACAAACGCCAGCGCATTGTTCTTTGTTAAATACCACATTTAATATCCTTACTAATTCAACCGAATCTCATTCACGTTCAATGCACCTTGAATTCTAGAACCGTTGGTATATTGGTTGCACTTGTGTCACATAAAAAGCTAAAGGCGCGCATTTTTATGAAACAATCGTATTGGTTTCACATAAAAGAATCAGTCAACCGTATCTCAACCGGAAATAATAAATGGCAAGCACATATCTTCGTCCCTCAACAACCACAAAGAGGGTTAAATTGGTCTTAACATGCGATAACTGTAAAGATCGTAAGGTTAAGTGTGACAAGGAACGTCCTGAATGCGGAACCTGTAGGAAGACGCGCAGGCCTTGTAGTTACAATTACGCGGATCGAACTGTACTTATGAGAGATCAGCAAGGCCTGAGTTCACTGCCTGATTCAACTTCTCTTCAAAATCAGTTGAATTACTTGCAGGGAGTGCAGTTTGGCCAACTATTTGACGAAACTGGATTTTTGGCGATGGCAACACGTGTTCCTCCTGGCGTAGATGTTGAAAACTTCCAAATTTCTGGAATGCTGACGAGACCATTAGTTACAGTTCAACCGGGTGATGATACTTTTGGCAACTATGTAAGTTTATTCATTCAAACCATTAATAAATATAGAAATTCTAACAATTTCTACCATTAGGACGGTACTTCAGTGATCACAACTGAAGTTCTTCAAAATTCGATTAATATCGCATCAAACATTCAAAGACCACCTGAACAATGTCAAGTATGTTTTAAATTTAGTTTCCATATTCAGCTAATTCGCGGATAAATGTGCCGATTGATTTAACTTCTGACAATGCCTGGAATCAATTATTCCCGACATATAATTTTTCACCCGATAGTACGATCCAACGTATTTTATAAATCAAGCTGATTTTGCCGCACTTATACAACAGGTACCTAAAACATCCGAAGACTCGGAAATGAACGATCTTACATTGTCAATCGAAAATTTAAGGCTATACGAGTCAACTCGTTATGTTGGTGAAGGCTCATTACTGATGCTCGACGATAATAACGATGAAATGATAATTCCATTAATGCCAGAAGTGCAGGATGAATTGAAACCTGTTGACGATTCACTCAAGTATTTACCCAATATAGAAACAGTTGAACAGCTAATTAACTTATATTTTAAGGTAAATTAGGCGATGGTTTTATACATTCAACTTTGTGATCTATAACCATTTCTCCCCTTATTTTTTTTTTTTTTAGCACGTCCATCGATATTTTCCTGCTTTAAGAGTACAAGTTATCTGGGATGCTTTACAAAATTTATCTAAGCCACAACACTTGTTATTATTAAATTGTATATTTTTTGTTGCATCACCATTCCATGATGATCCAGACAAGCAAGATGGAAAGATTTATTTTGATCGAGCAGAAGGTAAATAATTTATCATACTACATGAAACATTCAGTAAAGTAGTACTGTACGATAGTACATGTTTGACGGACATACGAAATTTGTACTAAATTTTGATCGTACCTATGGGCAGCATAGACTTATAAAATTAATTTTATAAGTAAATGTTTGGGTTAGGGAAGTGCCTTGTCTCGTGTTAAGGTTATAGAAAATAATTTGAAGAATTTGTTTTTTTACTAACCGTACTTACTATCATGATTTCCACGCGTCCGTCCTAATTTGCGTTTTTACTGTACTATTTTACTATATACTCTACTGCATAAGAAGATATCATAAATTTTGTTTATCATTGTTACACGAATTTTTAATTAATAGATTCGAAATTTCCTTCCAGAATTGCTTTATGAATATTGTACAAAACCACATGTCCTGACAGTAATTTCAATAATTATTTTAAGTCGCCATAATAAACAGGCACGTACAATTTAGCAAATTTTGGTCCTTATAACTTACGTTACTTATATATAATCTCTGTTTTGCATTATTTTTTTTTAATAACAGGCAGGTGCAGCATGGTCATATCATGGAATAGCGACTAAAATGCTGTTTGAGCTTGGGTTGCACCGTAAATATAAGAATTTAGTATTTAAGATGGAAGAAGTTGAAAGATTGCGAAATGAGGCCTTTTGGATGACTTTCATATCTGAAAAGTGAGTAAAAAATAAATAAATAAATAAATAAATTTGTAATTTAATGATTCCATTTGCATATAATTTGGCTAACAACTCGAAATCGTTTCAAGTTTTGTATCTACAACTTATGGTCGACCAAATATGATTGACGAAACTGATTGCAATATAAGTGTACCTCAAGTATCATATGATTCGAACTTACTAGACGACAACGCGCGACTCGAAATTGCTTATATTAATTTAATTAATCTCAGTCGGATTTGCGCTAGGGTGCGGAAATATTTACATGCTGCATCAAGATTAAGATTTTTGATGCAAGATGACCAAAATAAATTCCAAGTTCTGGATGCTGCACTGGCAAGTTGGCTTCATGCATTACCACAGTGGTTAAAGTTTGATGAAATTGTAAGAGATCCCAATGGAACTTTATTGAATGGCATCGGAGGTGAAATATATTAACCCTATTTATATTGACATTTTATCATTCATATAATGACTTCTTATTTACTCTTATTTACTCTTATTTACCTTTATTTACTTTTATTTGACTTTTATCTTACTCTATTTCACCAGGTGATATGCATATTTTCTTCTGTACAATACTTATCCTTCTCCATGGCAGATATCTAAGACCACCAGATCAATATCCTGATGTACCTTATTCTGCGGATTCTCTTGCAATCTGCATGCAACGGGCTATCATAATAGTTCATTGTCTTGAAATATTATTATCAAAATATCCAGAGTTTTTTGCTCTCGCTGTATCAGGTCCATTTGCAATTAATCCTGCAAAACGCGTTTTTATTTGGCATGCTAGATATGATTTAGTGGAAACTGAGGATGGTACTATTAGAAAATCTGAAAACTGTAGAAAGTCCGAAGAAATGTTAATGCGCCTTGAAGTCATTGAGAACCAAATTTCTAGAATTTCACGGAGGTATGATCGAGGAAGGATACATTACGATGAAGGATTTATAAATGACAGACCTGCTGAATGGTTAGGTATGACTCAACATCGCAAGAAGATAGATAGAAATGCTATTGTTCCTAGAGAATGGGAGTCATTTATTGCAGATGATGACAAAGCAACAAGAAAACAATATTCAGTTATTGCAAAAAAGCAATCGGGACCTTTTATGCCAAAACGACAAAATTCTGGTGTTTACAGGTCAACAAATGGTAACAGGATGCATAGTTCAAGCTCTCTCATAACACAACCGTTATCTGAAGAACCTATGAACGAACCCAATTTCATATTTAAAACTGATAGAGATTTTCAGTTTTCTGCTTTCCAACAATCTTCCTCCATAAATAATAATATGTTCCAAGATGATGTAAGTAAACTTATTTATTATGAAAAAAGATAATTTAGATACGCTAAATTAGTGATTGAACCCGTCTGAAAAATCACAACCCGGGTGATCTGACGGATAATACTCTAGCCATGGCGACAAAATTTGTCGTTAAAATGAGATTTTACTTAAACATTCTAATTGGATGAAATCAATAATCTAAATATAATTTTTTTAGCTTTTAAAGAAGATATCTGGCAAGCAACTATCTGAAATCAATAAAAATTTGTTTATTTTGATTCTATATAACTGTATAATCAAAATAAAAAATTTTTTTACTGATTTTGGATAGGTGGTCGTCAAGATATTTTCGCTCAAATTTTAAAAAAACAACTTAGATAATTTCAAACTTTGAGCGAAGATATCTCAGCAATCACCTATCTAAAATCGGTGAAAATTTTTATTTCGATTCTATGCCTGTATAATTAAAATAAATAATTTTTTTTTTAATTTTGAATAGGTAGTTATCAAGATATTTTTGCACCAAGTTTAGAATAACTATCAAAGCAGTAACTGCGGTAAAGTTTTTTCCAAACTTTGAGCTAACATATGGGCAGCCGTCAGCAGATTGACGTTTTAAAAGAAATTAATGTCTTAACTTTTCACTGTTCAAATCTCATAATTTAATAGTCAAAAGATCTTAAGTTTTGATTATTAAATCATGCGAGATGAGCAGTGACAGTTAAGGTGTTAATTTTTTTTTTTTAAATGTCAATCTTCTTGATTTCTATTGACGACAACCCATATCTCGGCAGCCATTTATTTAAGATCGATGAAAATTTTTTTATTTCGATTATATATATCTGTATAATTGAATAAAAAATTTTGATAGGTGGTTATAGAATATTTTCACTCAAAGTTTAGAAAAACTTAACTATCAAAATAGAAGCTGCAGCGAAGGGTTTTCCAAACTTTGAGCGATGATATATCGACAATCACCGATATAAAATTAATATATTTTTTTTATTTTATTTCGATTCTATATGAACGTATAATAAAAAATTTTGTCGATTTTAGATAGTTGGTTGCTGAGATTAGTGGTGCGAATTTAATTTCCTACCGGTAGTTATTGGTAGATGTTAATTACCAGTAGTGGTAGCTACCGATAAGTACTAGACACATGATTCGTATCTAATAATATGACTGAATGTTAACTTATTGGTAGCTGCTGGTGTCTACCTTCACATACTAGTCGAGATATTCTCTCGAAGTTTGAAGAAATATTACATTTGAATAATTTTGTCCAGTCAGAATGCGAATATTCAAGCAGAATCTCATTTTAGCGACAAATTTTGTTGCCATGGCTAGGGTGCTACCCGACGGGTGGACCCGTGGGTCACCTGGGTGGTGCCGGGTCATCGGGTTACCAGATTAACCCAGTTAAAGATTTACCAAATCACTAAATCCCGAATCAGATTCCATGCATTTCTTGCCTATCGAATATAATGGCCAGATGAAGTTTTTATTGTAAGTTTCTCATCAAATTAAGGCCATACAAAGTTTAACTCCTTGGTTTTCATAACATTAAAGATTAGACTGACTAATATTTTTTTATGTGACAGAAAAAATTTCTCGAGGGTTCGAATTTTGACCCATGCTGATTATGAAAATCAATTGCAGCTATTTTTATTATTCCACTGAGTTGATAAGTTTCTAATATTGGCTGACACTGGTAACTTATCAATTAAGTTGATAGTTTATCCACTCGGCTATCAAGAATTGATTGTCCCGAGAATAGTAAAAATAGTTGGTATCAGGAATTTTCCGCACATGTGATCTCTGACTATCATCTTAGAATTCTGAAATGATACGAATGTCGCCAAGGGAAAACCCGCAAATCTAAAAATATAGATCATTTATGAAATTCATAAATGATCTATTTTTAGATTTGCGGGTTTTCCCTTGGCGACACTCATATGTACCGTACTACTGTACAATAACAATATAACAATGATGGCCGATCAGAGGTCGGGAAATCTTATGTGCGGACACGCTGTTTTCAATTATAACATCCGGTATTCGGTCTGATAAAACACCGGGAGTGACATAACACACTAAATTAACGAATTTAAATGTATAGTAATCATGCCACGAATTGATCGGCCAATTATCACGTTCGGGTTAATATAAATTGGGAAATCATATCTCGGGTCGATTCACGTCAACCTGCGTGTAGACCCGCCCATGTCCACCCGTGTGACCATAATCGCAGCCATCACCCTTCAATCACTACGTTAAATTGACAAAATATTTATTATTACTTTTTTTTTTTTTTTGATAACACCAGCAATTTCATTCATCAACTCAACCACCACTACCAATTATACAAGATTTTAGTTCGTCACCTTTACAGCAATCACAATCAATACAAGATAACATTGATCAGGTACAATATTCACTTGATGTGAAGCCAAATAATGATATGCTACGAACACCTCCCCAATCAGCTAGACTTTCACAATGGCCACGATCTAACGATGGTACTCCAGCCTTGTCCCCAACTTTGGTATCAGCTACAGCTAACGTAATATTAACGCCACCACCACAGTCTGATTTATACATAGAATCAAATGATTTTATTAATAATGAAGGTTTAGCTATGCTTCAAAATTCAAATGCTCAGGAACAAATGTTTCATGATGAATTCGTTAATGAAAATAATGGAATAGGATATGATGATAACGGAGATAGTATCTTTGGTCTTGGAATATCTGTTTCGACCGATAATTATAGACAAGAGTAAATAGTCTTAAATCGATTTTTTTTTTACAATATTTATAAGATTTTTTATTTAAAAATTTTTGTTGAATAAAGTTTTGATATTATTTTTATTTGTAAACGACGTGTATATACAAGCTCGCGTGATTATGCCGGCCGATAAAATTACATAAAATTTTATTATAAACACAATAAACATCTAAATATTAACCAATCAATTGTGCAAATTTTAAATTTATTTTTTATATTAGAAAACGAAAGTATATGAAAAAAAGTTTTACGTCGATCAGCGACGCGTGTCTCAAATGCTTGCATTAGATATTAACAGATCGATCTAAACTATACATTTGCCCAACCATAACCCAATCCAAATACGTGTAAAAAATTTTGTTGCAGGTAAATACATGTGGAACATGAAAAATAGAGCAAGATTCTTAACACGATAGTTCAACAATAACATGATAATTGAGTGCCTTATGTTCGTCCTTCTTAACCAATTCCACGTCGATAACCATATCCACCTGTAATGTTTTACTAGCGACACCTATTTTTGCTGATTTTTACAATAAATGAATGCCTTATGTTTGTCCTTTTCATCTCCAATTCCGTTAAGATAGCAATATCAAACGCTATTAGCGACTTCCATCTTTGATAATTACGTTATGTTCATTCTTTTCAACTCCAATTCCATTAAGATAGTAATATTCAACGCCATTATTGACTTCCATCTTTGTTGATCTTGATAATTACTTATGTCCATTCTTTCAACTCCAATTCCATTAATATAGTAATATCTAACGTTACATGTTCAGTTGCTTATGTTCATCCTTTTCAACTCATTCGATTACAATAGACAGCAAGTGCACCGCAACCGGCAAGGCGAAAACTAATCACCGGCAAGTTGAAGCCACGTCACACAGCTGGCAAGCAACAATCAAAACCACGAGCACAGTTGACAAACACACAGTCGAAGCAACGACTATAAAATTGATAATCGACAAGACAAAGAAACACCCATGAATTACCATAGCAAGATGAAGCAACAATCGTGACAAAAAAATTAAATATACGTAAATAGTTACCGATCTGCATTCGTGTAACACGTGTATAACACCCCTATAAGCTATTTTCTTTAATATTTTTTGTATTCGGCTTACATGACAATGTATACTTTTTAATACGTACGTATTAGATTGGTAATTCCTTTACTGGGTGCATTCATAGATTACCAAATATGTATTCATTGATTTTTTTAATCAAATTCAAAGTTTTTATTTGTGTGTATATACATTCATTATATTAATTATATTACTAGCGAATATGAATCATTCATGTATATATTTTTTTTCTTTTTTGATATATTGTCTATTATTTCTAAACTACAAATAATTTCCACCGATTTAACTAAATCATTCACTAGTTAATAAGTTGAAATAGTATTTCAGGGATGGATAAAATGTTTTTTTGGATCAT